GCGCCTACGGTTTTTTCTGCAGCGTGCGGCCCTCGGAGCCCTTCCTCACCCGATACCTGCTGGGGCCACACAAAAACCTCTCCGAGACACAGGTACCGAGGCCCCAGGCACCCCACATCCCCGTCCAGGTGTCTGTGTTTTCCTTGCAGGTGCTGGGGTTTACCGCCGCTTTTTTCCTTTCCCCGCCAGGTGTTCAACGAGATTTATCCGGTGTGGACGTACTCCTACTTGGCGCTGCTGTTCCCACTGTTCCTGGCCACGGACTACCTGCGGTACAAGCCCGTCGTCCTGCTGCAGGGCCTGAGCCTCATCATCACCTGGTTCATGCTGCTGTACGCCCAGGGGCTGCGGGCTGTCCAGTTCCTCGAGTTCTTCTACGGGATGGGGACCGCCACTGACATCGCCTATTACTCCTACATCTACAGTGTGGTCGATGTCAACTTGTACCAGAAGGTCACCAGCTACTGCCGGAGCGCCACCCTGGTGGGCTACACGGTGGGCTCGGTGTCCGGGCAGGTCCTTGTGTCAGTGGCAGGGTGGTCCCTCTTCAGCTTGAACGTTATCTCCTTAACCAGCATATCCATTGCCTTTGGCACAGCGTGGTTCCTGCCAATGCCGCAAAAAAGCCTTTTCTTTCACCATGTCTTGAGTCAGCAGCTCAGTTGGGAAATGAAGGTCATGGACTGTAAGAATGGATCAGTCATCCAAGATCATCCCAATGTGCAGAGGGCACCCGGCTGGGAGGATGAGACAAAAGTTCCCTTAAATGGGGAGAGTCACTCAGCAGAGAAACAGGTGAGTTATGCCCTGGGTTTACATAAGCAGAAGTTGCAACACTGACATGTTTGTCATGCGTGTATGTGTGTATATGTATATATGTATATGTGCATGTATGTGCACAGCAGCAGAGATGTAATATCCAATAGCAAAAAGTATCCCCTTGCTTATCCAACTTCCTTATTTATGGCACAGGAAAACTTATTCCTGCCTTTCTTTTGCTGATTGAGCATGGTAGGCTGCTCCTTTGTTTTTCTGAGGTTGTTCTGCATGTCTCACAAGACTGTTAAACAGTGCAGAGCAAGGGACACCTCTGGGACCCTAAAAATTGTGTATGTGTTCAAATTCTATGTGTGTTTCTGGATGCACCCCGTGACTTGCAGAAAAGAGGCAATTCTTTCTGAGCCAACGTTTTGAAAACACTTGTTACTGCAACTGTTGTGCAAGTTGTACAGTAATATACTGTGTAGTAATTGGGTTTTATCTTATGATCCTGAAAGGAAACTGATCCAGGATGGAAACTGCAGAAGTCACCAAGAGCACTTAAAGACTGACATTAGTTATAGATGGACAGAATGCAGATAAATTGCAGGAAACACCTTTGCATAATAACAGCTTAATGCAGACCATGAGTGCACCAAGGTAGTGCACTGACTTGTGGCTTTTGTGGGCTTCGTAACCTCTGACAAAGTCATTTGTATGGAAACAAGCATGTAGGTGCCCATGGTCGGTGGTGGGACATGTTGGGTCCCACGGGGTGAGGAGCAGGCAGCCTCCAGTTCAAGGTACTGTGTCTGTAGTTGCTTGCTGGGCTCTGCCATGCTGCTCCAGGTGATGCACAGGTACAGAGAGCCTGTGGCAACAGGGGAATTCGAGGCCCTGGGGAGAGGTCAGCCTTGCCCCTTGATCAGGAGGGGGTTGTGCTCATTCTGAGGACAAGCCATAAGGTAACTGTGGCTGTTGGTTTAGTCAGCTAATGAGTATTTCACTTAGCAAGTGAGCCCCAGTTTCCTGTGTGACCTACTGTGGGTGATCCTGCTTTGGCAGGGGGGTTGGACTGGATGATCTTTTGAGGTCCCTTCCAACTCCTCACATTCTGTGATTCTGTTGCTGCCCAGGGCTAGGGGAGGCAGCATCCGGGGCTGCTTTCAGCTTCCTTCAGCTATAGCTAGGAATTAAAGGTATTAACATTCCAGGGACCTAATCCTGCCCCATCCAGCACAGTCTTGTGTGAGCAAGAGTGTTTTTTAACTATGGTATGTGTGCTGAAGGATATTTGTTAAGACAGATTCTGTGCCAATAATGATTAAGGCATTAGTATCACTTATCTATTCCTTTTGTTTCTCTTATTCCCATCCTGTGAGAGCAAGGGTGGTTCCAAACTAATGGTGAAATATTTTTAAAAGGAGCAAATATACTTGCATAACTCACCAGAGTTCAGTTATAGCAGGTGTGAAAAGCTGAGCAGCATTGCTGTGTGATGCTAGCCCTTCTTGGTAAGGTAATGGCAACTGTATTGCGCAAACAGAAATGAATGGCTGCATGAATAATTGTACTGAAGAAGCATTGCCAGGTGCTGAGAGGGCAGATGGGCCTTTCTGGCCTATTGGGTGTGTGCTGGGGTTGAATGTGCCAAATCAGTTTTTGCAGTGTATATCACTGTTCCCTTCCCATTTTTTTCCTGCACCTAAACTTAAGCTTTGTGTGAAACCTTCTGTGTGGGAGTTAGGTTGCTAAAGTCTCGTTGCTGCAAACTGACTTCTTCCCGAGTTGTTCTGTTGGGCTTTGGAGGAACAGTGTCCACATGGCAAAGCGCTAGTGGGGCTGTGTGATGTTTTAACAAAGACGCTCAGAAATCAGTGACACTTCAAGGGGTGGAGAAAGGGCACTTCAGGACAGAGTTGGGCTAGAAGATTTGGTAGAAACACCTTAAAACGAGTTTCATTGTTCATGGAGAATAGTCTTTCCCAGGCGCAGACTGCACTGATTCCCCCATGGGAAGGGGATACTACCAAAAGCCCAAAGTTGCTGCTGCTGACTGGGAAC